GCGAACTAGTCTTACGAAAAGTCTTCCAAAACACCGCAGAACGAAACGCTGGGAAACTAGGAGCCAACTGGGAAGGACCATACAGGGTCATAAAGGTAGTCCGGCCGGGAGCGTATGAAATCGCAAACATGCAGGGCACCAAAATTACCCGATCGTGGAACGCGATGCATCTCAAATAATACTAACACCCGCAAAGCACTGAACTACGAGACGGCTTGAAACCCCCTAAGGGTATGTAGGCATCTTGTCGCAAGAGAAGACCAGCTGTCCCCCCTCACTAAAAGGCGGGGGGGGGGGGAGGGGGGTAGGTGAGCATACGTATACTCGTATACTCCCGAAATTTCAAACTCGAAATTTCTAAAACCTTTTTCAGCGACGCAGCGAAAGAAAAAAACAAAATTCCGAATATAGAGAGACGTCGCCAATATTCGGAGAACCGTTTCTCTCCAAAATAACAACAATAAACAGTCTGTCCGCAACTAGAAAAAAAAAACATACACAGCTTCTTAAGATATAATTCCTTCGCGAAGGCCCAAACAACGTGAACATCTATCACCTAAAATTAGTTTGTTGCTGATCACAACAAACTCGCAACAGTCCTAAACAAACTTAAGTTATCTCGCAGAGATGGCTCTCGAACACCCGACACAAGGGTAATAGCGCTATAAAAGAAATCCAAACTTTTGGTCAGCACTTCCGGGCAACTTAGAAATTGTTCCCGGTGAGATGCTCGATTCCAAACAGACAAATCGTATAAGCCGAGAAACTATCGCGGATTCTTAATCGGTATGGAATCAGGTTAAAATCGCATCAGGCAAAACGAAAGCCGACTAGTCATCGCATAGCCTCAATCCGAAAGTAAACCTAGGTCTTGCCCTAAACCCAGCACACTGGTCACTAACGTCTCAAGGCATGAATCAAGATCTTAAAGGCATGTCTCTTCGTCTATATCTAAACGGTCACTCGGTTTACTAAACATCCTAAAACGAGCAAACGAATAAGGAGATCCACAAAGGAAAAGGAATGCGAGACGACAACTCGCGGACCTCCCTCAATATCAACTCGAAACAAAAGGTTTAAACGAAAAACAGATTGTTCATTACAAAAAGTTGCCGAAGCAACAAGGGATTCAAAGCCGTAAAAAGCCAGTCCCGAACACATACAAAGGCCATATTCGGCCAAACACATAAAGATTTAATTTTTTAAGTCTCATACCAGACTACAACCTCAGATACCCTCCGCACACGGAGTTTCATCCTCATCCATCGCATCACCGGCACCCGCAATAACACCTTCACCTTCGTCAGCGATCTCTTGATCATTGCTCTCATCCGCACCAGGCTGAAGGGCGCATTTGGCAGAAAGAGTTGGGTCGGAGTCACTTCCCTCGATGGGACCATCCTCTTTGGTCGCACGGACCGCCGATCCCTCAAAGCTCTTCATCTTGCGCTGAAGTCTGCGCAGCTCCGAAGCCTTGGACTTCTTCGCATCCTTCGCCTTGAGCAAAGAAATCGCGGTGTTTCCGAGATCGCGCTCCAAGTCGCTGATCCTAGCCTCGAACCGAGACACTTCCGCGGAATGCACATCTTCTATCACCTTCAGCTTCCCTTCGAGCTGAGCGGGCCTCTCCTGCGACTCAGCCAACTCCTTAGCTAGACGCTCAACTTCAGACCAACATTTTTTGATCACTCTATCGATCAACAAAACAAACTGAAAGAACCAAGATACACGATCAAGCACCAATTAAAAATAATAATAAGGTGTATTCGCGAACCTATACCTTGCCACGGTGTTGCGACATCATACCCGAGCTTGGCGCCTTGCTCGACGAAGTACCAGCCTCCAAACCCTTCGTGCATCTCTTTCTCTTGGGAGCATCAAGGTTCGCGCAAGGCCTCTTAAGACCTTTGGCTGGAGCAGCTAGCGTTGCACTAAGCACTGGGAGTCCTAGAACGATCATTCTCTTGGCCAGAGAAGGAGGCTCCAAGGTTGTAATCGGCTTGACCTCGGTAGGAACCACAACCGTTTCGATCTCGGTGGGAACCGCTACAGTTTCGACCTCACCAAGGGGCGAAATGGCGGATGAACTCGACGGCTCGATGGTGACGCTCCCTGAAGGTTTCGCTATGGCACTCGCCGCTTCGTCCGGAATAGCCTCGGGCTCTTCCGCGGGAATGGGTAGGTCCACCGGGGCTGAAGAAGTCGGAACCGTAGTTTCCTCAGCATCGCTGCGATCCATCTCCTCCTGGAACAAGAGGAACTCGGAGATGCGAGCATCCTGCAAATCCGCCGCAGGATTTTTGCTAGCTGAGACCTCATGGCTTTGTTGATCACCTTGGGAAGAAGACATCTTGACAATTTTTTAGAGAGAAGTTGAGAGAAATTTAAAGATTGAAGATATGTGAAGTAATGATCCAATACTTATAGATCAGAAGAGCTCATCTTTTGTAATGATCCGAATCGCAACTGTGGATTTCGATTAAAACAACTCCATTTTCCCGCAAGAACCTTCTTCGAAACATGCGAGCTGGGGGGCTAACTGTTGGTATCAAAAACCATAATCTCGAAATCAATGTCTACGATTATTTCTGTTAAAGATCAAAATCTTTGGGGGTGCTTTAACCTTCCAGACCTGTGCTTGGAGCCTTTTGATGCTAGGTTCATCTACTATGTTCTCTTTCCTTCATTAATACGACTGTTTGTTATAATGTATCAAATTATCAATGTAATATGTTGTGAGTTGGACAATGATTTATAACTGATATGTAACCAACTATCATTATGTTTTATGGGTCACATTAATGCATATATTTAAAATTTACTTACTTATTTATTTTTTTAAGATCATAATTAATTATGTACAAATTAAACATAAAATTTTATGCATTTTTAAAGGCAAATATTTCAAAAATGGGAATTTTTTGGACTGCGGCATGGGCACAAGACCATCATATGCATGGAGAAAGCATCATGCATGGTAGAGAATTACTAAAAAAAGGTTTATATCAACATATCGGCAATGGGGTTGATACCAATGATTATCGATACCATTCCTCGGCCACCAATGTACCGGGAAAATAGTTCCATAAATCTAGCGCTCAAAGTTTCCGATCTCTTTATTCCGGGCACGAATCAGTGGGATACTAATTTATTACATCAAACTTTTACGGCAGAGGATGCTCAAAAGATTTTACTTTTGAAACCATCAGTGATAGTTGACGATACACTCAGATGGGGTTTCACAACGAGTGGTTCTTATTCGACTAGAAGCGGGTACAAGCTGTTAGAAGCTTTGGTTGAATATGATCATCCCTCAGGTCATTCCCTCACTCCTATTGAAAAACAATTATGGAAGGAGGTATGGAAAGTTAAAGCTCCACCAAAAATAATTTTTCATTACCTTTAAATGGCTTTTCTCGGAACTCAACATTTTTAAATTTTGTTCACCTAATTAAGAGTGCCAAAAACACAGCAATGGATATTCATACAAGGAATGTTTTTCCATGGTTGTTATGGGAAATTTGGAAAGCAAGGAATAATTTTGTATTCCAAGACAAAGATACTGAACCTTCTTTTATTGCTAAGAAAGCCTTTGAAGAGGAATCAACATGGTTTGATACATTCACCGCCACAAAAGTGAATGTCGATGAGGCTCCTCCAGCAATGATTAGATGGAAAAAACCTCCCCATGGTTTCCTAAAATGTAATGTTGGATCTTCATGGTTAAGTCCGAATTGCATTAGTGGTGCTTCTTGGATCCTACGAGATGAAAATGGCTGTACACTCATGCATAGTCGGCGTGCTTATTCTTATATGCGTACAAAAGCAGAGGCCGATCTATGGTCTCTTTTATGGGCTGTGGAATGCATCCACAACTTGCATTTCTCGAATATTATTTTTGAGACATCCTCTGAGGACCTCCACGACACTTTCAGTAATCCGGATAACCATCTGAGTCTCAGCCTTGTCCGCCATAATGTCTGCTTTCTGCTATCCAAGATTGCTCTCTGGAGTCTAGATCACGCACTCCAAGAACGAAATGAAGCTGCTGACGCTATTGCTATAAGTGTCACTCGCGATCATCGCCACCAGTCTTACATCGCGAGCAATGTTCCCGTATGGTTACACCATCTGCTCGCTCAGGAGGCTCAGCATTTACCGGTTGGGTGAAATTATTTCTCCTTGTTGTTTTGATGTCTACTGACATCTCATTTTTCTCTTATGATTCTCTATCATTTTGTACTGTCTCGAATATTTTTACGTCTCAGTGTTATAAAAAAAAAATTAAACATAAAATTAATATTATTAATTAGGATAAATATTTCAAATGATATTAGAATATGATAAATTTACGAAAATACATACTAATGTCTATACTGAAAATTTTATAAAATGTTTAAATTATGTATTTAAAGTATTTAAAAATCCGCACGTAGCACCGGCTAATCCTTAATATGTAGATAAAGTTTGGAAAAACAATACATATTATGGGTCAAGGATTTAGTATACAGCAGAGTCCTTACCGTTGTAAATTTTTAACTATGAGATATAGGGAGGGTATGGAACGTAAGAAGATCTGTCAACAATACAGATAGTGCTTATAATTGTTTTTTTTTTGGAATTTTTGAACATAGTGGCTTACGTTTTCCTTTCATCTAAATAATTTCAGTGTTGTAAAGATTTTTTCTTTATTCAGTGTTTTTATTGAATTTATGTATTGTTTTTAGTCATTCTTTATCAGAATTTATGCAGTGTTTGCTGTCTTCCATTATAAATAATATATGTACTATCAGTTTGGTTAGATAAATTATTTTAAATAGAATAAATGCTATTCGTAACAAGAAAAGAACCGTTTAATACATTATATTGGTTGGTAAAAGAAATCTTCATATATACAAATTTCGCGTTTGTCTCAACATAATATATATATTATATAATAAATATTAAAATATGTATATATGGAATAGGAAATGGTCTATATATATTATACAAACTGTAATCTACCACCCTGCACTAGCCAACCTGCGAATCCTCCTTAATTTGTCTCCATTCTTCTCTTTAGTAATTTGGATGCTTCTGTTCATCACCTGCATGCCATTTATGATTAAATACCCTGTTTGTGAAATTTATCAAATTATAAATGATTAAATACTACGACGATAATTTACTATATAACGCTTGTTTGAATAGAAACTAACGGTATCTCCAGTAAAGTCAAGTTTGAATCTAATAGTATCACATTTATTTGGTTATTTTTTAAATGTGATGTATTTTGATGAAGTGATATACTCGTTAGAGTCAATTTACTCAAAATATTAGAAGATGTTGAATACCTTAAGTTTTGAGATGATAGAGGAGAAAAACTGGGGGAAATAGAATAGGAGTGCAAATAGGATATTAGTTGTGTGTAGGAAGGAAAAATTTTCTACAGTTAATGACCTCTTAAAATTTATTTAATATATTCCTCGGGAGAGTACATATGGAAATTTGATTATTACCTCTTCCCTTCTTTTCTTATCATTTTCTTCCTATCAAGAAAAAAAAATATGAATGTAAGAATAATAATATTTGTTTAAATATAAGAACATAGATAATGTCTTGTAGCAATATTGAATAATAAAGAAAGTACCACAATTTTTCAGTTAAAAAAAAAAATACCACAATTTTCTTCAGCTCCATGTTTTCTTCCGTGAGTTGGTTCAATTCCAACTCCAACTCCACAGTATACGCCTAAAAGCGACATTGGTCAGAACATATGCCAAAAGTTAAACTTAAGACCGATAAAACAAATTAAATATTTTTTTTTATCAATTCGAAAAGCTATATAAATAAAGGTACAATCCAGATTCAATAAGAAAATAGTATGCATGTTTTATACAGATGAAATTTGTATATATTTGATCTCAAACTTACTTGTCTCCGGGCTCGAGACCGTGCCGCAGATTCGCGGTTTTTAATCATCCGTCGCTGTCTCCGCTCCAGCAGTATTTCGGGTGGACCGTCAATTATTCGTTTCTGGATCCGAAATGCATCTAAACCGGTTAAGTACTGATCACTCCTCCCATTTCCGGTCATGCAGCTTGAGGATTCTCCCATGCCCGAGTAAAACGGCTGATTTTCATTGTAAACCGTCCGGTTATCACCATAACTGTTTTGGGCTTGACAATGTAAACCGACTCCGAACTCCGGATGATAACCGAATTCAGAACTCGACATCTTCATCGTTGTCTTTAATGGTTCTTGAACAACCCCAGCCTTAACAAGAAAATCCTCGAGCGTGATCTCACCGAGGGTTTGTTGCCGACGATTATCTTCGTCGGAGTTTCGACCGGGAATTGACGACGGTGGTGGGGGTTGTTGTACACCGTTTTGTATATCGAACCAAACTTCCTCGACGGTTTTCTTGCACATAGGTACGGGAACTGACAACGAACCTTGCCGTGGCAGTATGGTCGGTTTCTTCCCGTCCTGGTTGGCTCCAGCTCCTCCGCTGTCGTTTTCCTCAACAGTCGTCCACATGTTAGCGAGGAACTCGTCCATATTCATTGCTCCAAAGCTCTTGCCGCTTTTCATCTGAATCTCGTCAAGAGTCAGTGACATGATCGAGTTTTGTCTGCTTACTGGTGGATACTCCTCTACTTCGGTTTCCTTCGTATACTTTTGCAGTTGCCTTTGTCGTTGCGTTTGGAGATCGTGGTTGAATACATGGAAGGTCGAAGTCTCTGATTCCGGAAACGGCATCGTTTTAAGACCTATAAATTATGAAATGTGAACATGCATTCATATAACAGTCAGAGATTGTGAAGTTCCATCAGAAAAGTTATGAATTTAATGGCTACAGAATTACAATAAGCGAGTACAATTATGGATGTTAAGTTCATTACAGAATGTGAATGTTTGCAAGATGTTACGAAAATTGCTTTAAAAGCTAAATTCAAAATCTTAACTGATTTTATTTCTAAAATAAAAGAAACAATGAGAAGCCTAACTGTTGGAACATGTTGGCTAGGACACCATGAGCCAAATTTGCTTTAGATCTTGTGTTAAAGTAATATAAACAACAAAATTATGAATCTTGTTACCGGAGCAGTAAATATAGGGAGAAGAAGAAGAAAGGAAAGTAGCGTAGGAGACGAGCAGTGATGTGTCAGTGGAAACTAGAGTTTAAAGAGATACCTTTAAAATGAAGATGAGGCGGAGTTTACAATGGTGTCATTTCTCTGTATATATAAGCGAGCATTTTTTTTTTGGTAGAAAAAAGCATGCATGCATTCGAGGGATAGTTTATTTTGTTTTAATTTATTGGAGAGGTAAAGAAGAGTGTAAACTGCAGCAAAATATAGTCAATATCTTCTTTTTTTTTTGTGTGGACAAAATAGTCAATATTTGTTGTTTAGATATTTGAAAAATGCCTTTCAAAAGAATATGAAAATACCTTTCAGATAAAAGATTGATGTTTATTAATGTGGTACGTCGAATCTGGTATCGATTATTTGCTTTCTCGTTTATCGATTGACACGTTCATGACGCTTGTCTCATTTTTCCTGCTAAAATTCTTTCATATATTCTTCCTGCAAAATTTTACCTCAGTTTTACCTTTATACGATATTTGCCTTCTAGCTAATTGGTCTATCATATATATTACATATAAACCCTACTTTCAAATTATATTTTCTTAGTTTAATGTTGTAAAAAAAGTAATTAAAAAAAAACCTAATGCAAGCCATCTAGAAGTTCTATACACGTTTTTAATACTTTTATACATTTGTAATATATATTGTATATGTAACGCCTCGACGGTTATCCAGACGCGTGTAGCGTTATGCCGGTTTACACTAACGAGGATGACGACTTTTGTGAGACGTTATATTCTGTGAGTGAGAATAAATTCAATGTTTCGATTTTGGTATAAAGAAGTGTATATAGGAAAACATTAAAATGATTTGATTAACAAATGAATTGCATTTATCTTTTCTAGTCAACATTACGAGTAAAAAAAATTAGAGTTAAACATCGCTTTCAATGTGAAGCAGTCCAAATGTTTCGATCTAATGTTTGCTGATGAAGTAATGTTTTTTACGATGGGAGCTGCAATTCTTTGCATGGTATTTCTGAATGTCTTGATGATTTTGCAAGCTGGTCTGGTCTGGTAATATGGAGAAAACAGAACTATTTATGTCAGGTCTAGATTAAGGCGAAGCTACAACCATCTCACGCTATGGTTTCACTTCTTGTAATCAGTCTATTAGATACTTTGGCCTTCTTCTCATGTCCAGAAATCTAAGGATAGCAGAATATTTGCCATTGCTTGCTAAGCTCTCGGCTATATTTAACATGTGGGCTTCAAAGTCCTTATTCTTTCCGGGTCGTCTCCACCCTCTATCGACGATCATTTTTGACTTAGTAAATTTTTGACTCTATTTTTCTTCTGTCCAAAGGTTGTATCAAGCAGATTGAGTCGTCATGCTTTCGCTTTCTTTAGTCAGGGAACACAGAGGTTTGTAAGTCTGCGAAAGTAGCTTGGACTACAGTGTATCTCCCAAAAGACGAATGAGGCCTCAGTCTCAGAAACTTCTCTGTTTGGAACCAGGTCTTGTATCTGCGATTCATATGGCTTTTATTCTCTAACAGTAAATCTTTTTGGACAGCCTGGCATCATTAATATAGCTTCTCTAAGAGAAGTTTCTAGGTTGTGCAGGAAAACCAACAAGATTATTAGACTTGGAAATGACTTCTAAAGCTTCGCCATCTTGCTCTTCAATCTTGTAAGGCTCGTCTAGGTGATGGTGCAAAAATAAGCTTTTGGTTCGATAATTAGACACCAATGGGCCAGCTTATAGATCACATTGGAGAGACCGGTCCTAGAAACACAAGAATTCCTATTAATGCTAAAGTGAATCAAGCTTTAAATGAGTTGGGTTAGAGTGTTGGAGGTCCTCGTTCCCAACAAGAGCTAGATCTCCACATTCACTTAACAGCTCTGTTCCTTCCAGCTAATTCAACAAATGAAGATGAATATTATTGGGAAGCTGATGGAGTCTCCACAAACACCTTCTCGTCCTCTCTTACTTGGGAGGCTCTTGGACCGCATGCAACAAAAGCACTTTGGGCGGATCTCATTTGGTTTAAGTGCTCAGTCCCTAAACACTCCTTCAACATGTGGATAGAAAATGCAGACCGCCTTCCTACCAGGATGCGTCTGGCCACCTGGGGTATTCTGGTACAAACCCATTGCCCTCTTTGCTCTTTACATAACGAAACCAAGGACCATCTTCTATTATCTTGTGATTTCTCAAGAGAGATGGAGGCAAATATGTGCTCGATTAGAGCCTTCTACGCTCGTCCTATATACTTGGAGTGAGCTTATGTCTTGGATTAGAGGACCACATTCATCACCTTTGGTAATCCTTCGTAGACTCACTTCCAAAGCTACTGTTTTTCATCTGTGGAAGCAGCACAATAATGTCATTCATAATCATATCTCGTTATCCACAACTGAGGTATTCCGATTTATCGACATACACATCCAGACTATAATCACTGCCAAGATGAAAAGAAAGCAGTTCAACTCTCTTATGTCTCTTTGGCTTAGATAAGGATCTTCTTTGGTCTCTTTTTAGTTCCACAATGTTTTTTCACTTTTTTTGTCATGGTGGTGATGTTAAGATTTTGTAAATCTAACTTTTCATTAATATGAATATTAACCTTTTAGCAAAAAAAAAAAAATGCAGCTCAATTCTAATGCAGATTGGATTACAGGTTTTTTTTGCCATTCAACATATTATTTTGCAGATCAAAAACAAATGATTAAAAAATAAAAAAAAATCTGCATACAAATGTAAATTACACATAAAAATTTTGATCTGGATATAAGGAGGGAAAAAGGCTGGACATTTCGATCTGAATATACATTATAGTTTGTTTTATTGTTATTCTTGTTAATAACTAATATAATTAAAATAATTAATACTTGTTTATAAATTTTTATTTTCTAATATTTTGTATAACTTATTATACTGAATAGATCTATGTTGTTTGGTCATTTATATTTCATTATTTTTAAATAATAATTTTTATATTTTGTTTGAATATTTAATTTTAATTATTATTTCCTAATAATTAATAAATTATGATAATTTAGTAAATTTATTTTTTAAATAAATATAATTGTTTTGTACATTCTTTTAAAAACAGACTGGCCAGTCAAACTGTGACTCCTCCATCTTGCATGTTCTAGGTTGCTCTAAATCAGATTTGAATTAAGCTCCCAAAACTCGTAAGAACCAGTAAAATTTCTAAAACCAGTGAACCGGTTCAATATCAAAATCTGACTTTTCAAAAATTGAAGTAGAATTGGACATTTGGATCCTCAGATCGGGTTCCGGTCGAGTATTGTTGGATCTGGGTCATTCGGGTCTTAGATATTAAGATCTGATAGGGTAATTAAAATTTGTTAGTTCGGGTCGGGTCTTGTCAGGTCCGGATCGGTTCAAATCTTAGAGAGTTAGGTCTAATAGAGTAATTATAATTTGTCGATTCAGGTTCGGTTTGATTCCGGGTTGGGTCCAAAAAATACCCAGAAGCACAAAAAATACTTGATAACTAGATTTTGACCTGCGCTTTTAAAGCGCGGGATTATTTTCTAAAAATATAAATATTTAATAAAAATCAATTTCTTTTTAGACAATTCATGTATTTTAGTAACAAATACAACATTTTATAGATGACATCTAATTTGTTAGAAGACAATTTTTAATTTTGTTATATGTAAAAGTTTAAATTTTCTTTCTTATAACTTATGTGTATAAGTTAAAAATATTGATGGTAAGAAATTAGTCGACTGGGCATATGAAGAATACTTTTCAAGAAAAACTGAACTATATATAGTTATATTAGGTTCAATCCATATTACAATGTATGATCATAATTTTGAAAAAAATTAAAATATTTTAGTTAATAATTATTTTAAATTTAATATGTATTACGTTGACTTGTAAAGATATATATATATATATATATATGTATATATATATTTATAAAATAACATATGTTCATTTATTAATTATAAGTAAATTTAGATAGAAGAATCTGTTTAGGATAGTTTAATTTTATTTTAACTCACTTTAAAAAAATATGTGATTAGTTTCATAAACCTACTTTGAAATATATTTATAAATATTTTATCGTTTCAAAAATTTATGAGTTTTCAAACTTTATACCCTACTATATCTTATTTATATTTTTGAATTTCTGATTATACATTAAATAGTTTTAATGTATTGGATTTAATCAGTGGAATTAAATTATTTGAATTTAATATAAAATGGATTAACTAAATAGGCTAACTAAAACCTATCCATTATTTAATCAATTTAGATTTAGCTGTATATGAAGTTGGGCTCAAAATGTTGAACAAACAAAAGCATAATTAGTCAATCATGTCATTCTTTCTATTAGAGCCATTTGTATTGTTACTAAAAGAAATTCTGAAAAGTAGTGTTGCAAAAGAAAGGAAAAACAAAGAGATCTATATAATATTCACATATTGAATGGCGTGTCATGAAATTTCGTTAATATTATAGTTTTTTATATCAAAATCTTTTAGTACCATAGTTATATCTATTTTCTACATTGAAAGTTTGAAAGGTAAAAGGTTAGAACAATAATAAAGCAACTTCGTTTTCTTCTTTTTATTTTTAATCAAGAGTAAGATGGTGTTTTGACAGTCATTTTCTTCCCTC